GATGCGGGTAAGTGAGTGAGTGAGTGAGTGAGTGAGTGAGTGAGTGAGTGAGTGAGTGAGTGAGTGAGTGAGTGAGTAAGTGAGTGAGTGAGTGAGTGAGTGAGTGAGTGAGTAAGTGAGTGAGTGAGTGAGTGAGTGAGTGAGTGAGTGAGTGAGTGAGTGAGTGAGTGAGTGAGTGAGTGTGTGAGTGAGTAAGTGGGTGAGCGAGTAAGTGGGTGAGCGAGTAGTTACATTTTTGCTGAAACTGTATATTTTTGTAATTATTTTCTAGGTAAGGCGATGATTATCCTACGTTTGTAAGACATATTTATCCTTAAATGTTATGCTTTTAAATTGCCCACGTGATGCCGTGTCATATATAATATTTGATAATATGGGAGAAACTATATATTTATTGATATGTAATGACATCATTGTGTAACTGTGTAACATGTATATCTGTATCTGAACCTGTATACCTATTTTTCGTTTGCAGTCCAATTCCTGACGAATATGTCTATTGCCAACCAAAAAAGAAGGTTGTTGCTGCGTGCATTGATGAGGAAGACGGACCAGCTTACTGTTGTGACGATTGGCGTATTCGTAAAGTCATCTTCAAAAAAGCCATGTGTATGTTGACTATGTTCCATAAGTGTAGTTTTAGAAGTGCACTACGAAAACTGTATCGTAGCCCGAAATGAGGTATTCCGCGTAAATTAAGTAGTGTTGACGTTTTAAAAACTTGCACAGACAGGCATATAGCCAGAGACACACGCATGTGCATTCACGCTCACGTGTATGGCAGGCGAGGTGGGACACAAATGTTATTCAGTGACAGTCACTTATTCGAATTAATGTCTATCATATATTCCATTTAGTGACAGTCATTAAATCAACCAATCAGATACAACTTATTTTTTCTCAGCCAATCATAGGCATGGAATTATTGACAAACACTAAATGATTTAATGATAGACACTAAATGATTGAATGTAAGACACTAAATAATTTAGTGACAGTCACTAAATACCATTTGTGCCCCCTCCCTTGCCTGCCATTTAATGACAGTCAATAAATCAACCAATCAGATACAACTTATTTTCTCTCAGCCAATCATAGGCATGGAATTATTGACAAACACTAAATGATTTAATGATAGACACTAAATGATTTAGTAACAGTCACTATAAATACCATTTGTGTCCAACCTCGCCTGCCATACACGTGCGCAGGCCCCCATACACGATTTGAGCTTTGATGTCGGAGGGTATCCGAGTATGCCAAACAGTATTTAACTTCATCAGATGGTAGGTACCATTATAATAACCGCTGGTACGCATTACCCATAATTGTAAAAGTAAGCTGTAAGTGAATATTTCTGCCCGCATACGTATGCTCAATTTTATTACATCAATCTCGAATCATAAATCATAATCATTTCGAGAATAATCCGGAAATCATTGAATCCAAGAATTATCCGAGAATCATTGAAACCGAGATCATAAATAATATCCAAAGCCCGTGAACCGGATCCCTACTACAGCTAGCCCAACATGGACTTCCTAATTAAAAGCTAGTTTCCAGTATATACAATAGAATGGCTATAACATCTATTTTCATTGCCGCCTACACTTCACTAGCATATATCTTCACAAGTATTAAACGATATAAATTTGTTTACTCGGCATTCTATTCTCTTATTTCTGACCATACAACCATTATGAATTCTGACAATATGAAAAATCTCCAAAGATCATTTAGTACTGCTATGCTCACACTGTTATATACACTACAGAAGTTTCACATTTCCTCCTATAGCGCCCAACGTAATAAGTACCGGTAATTGTTATATAGTGCCTATACCTTATCATATGCTCTATAATACTGAATTCAGATCGATGTGTATTCGAACAGCGATGTGCATTACAGTTAATTCTTCTTAAACAATAGTAAATACGCCGGGTATTGTGGTTAGTCGGGGTTGAACATGCGGCCAAGGTTCAACCTTTTGAAGATTTAAAGTGTTGAGTATCTTAAAGCCTGTATTGCGAGATTTTTGCTCAGAAAAACTAATTATAGCTGAATATAGTCTCACCTGACAGCGAAAATATCACTGATTACACCAACATTAAAAATACTAAGATTTTATGCAGTTATAGCATAGAGAACTGGATATGAACACATCGTGACAGCAATGCATTTTATCGTGTCGCGATAATGCCTAATGGCAGAATTGGTAAACTTGTATTTGTGTCGGTCATGAATTGAAAACAAGTGCGTGCCTGTACTGTGTCTATGGCAAAAAATCGGTGGCGCCAAAAGCTAATTCATACTTCCTGTTAGTTTAAGATGACAGAAAACGAATGTTTACAAAAAAGATTAGTTCGAAACGGGCAGTTTTCGGTGAATACGAAGGTTCTAAGACATTTTATTGTTACCGGTACTCTAGACAATTGCTGTTACTCAAGCAATAACGGTAGGTGTCATGAAAGTGGTGAAATCACTGGAAAACTCTCGCAATAGTTACTTTAAATATACGAGTATTGCACTAACAAAATCTTGTGTGAGTAAGGTGCTCTTAGATACACTCGGAAGTGTTCATATCGCTTATATGTGTGCTCATATAAGTCATATCAGCTCACAAAAGTATATAATATAGCCTACCTCACAAGTATGGTAAAATATAGCTCGAGTACTGTAGCCCTTGTTGCCGCAAGGGCGGTATAGTACTGGAGCTAGGTGAAATATAAGGACCATGAGGAAATAGAAGACAAGATCGATGGTCTACAAAGCACTTCCAGCTTCAGTATTCAACAAGATTGTCCTAGATAATTATTTTGTAGAGTTATTAGCCACATAGTCTTTCGATGACAGGGAATCAATAGCGGAAAAAAACACAAAAATAATATTAAAATTTAAGGAAGTTGTCACACATTCTTACGCTATTAGGCTCCTTCAAAACATCTAAGTCCACCAACAGAAAATGTGATAATTTATAATGTAGCAAGTTTAAAAAATAGCAATGAAATATATGCGTTTCCATTTTAGAGACAACAGGGAATAAACATGTATCATAATTTCTTATATTTCTTATTATTAATATCTATGAAACCCTTCAATTTGAGTACCATTTGATATTAATAATAAAAAATATATATGTGTGACTCCTGTTTCATGTGTAAATGGTATTTCAGCTGGCATAGTAAGAACATATTTTGTACTCAAAATACTAATAACTGAAATAGTATGCATTCAAACATTGCTATGTTTATTAATGAATGTTAATTATTATTGAATGTTATAGTTGCTTTACTAAGTAAATAATTGAGAATGAGATATAACTGCATGTGTATGAACGATGCAATGAGAAAATGGTGATGACGGATGTTCATGATGACAATTACAGAAACGTTGGTGCGGATGAAAAATATTAAGGAAACCTTTCAATAAATGATGGACTTAAAGTAGTTTTAGAATGTCTTAAATCTCATATGTACAAATAGCTACTTGGTAAACTCGAAAGTTGTTCACACATGCATCTTTGCGTTCTTGGCTTAATTAGTACTGAAATCATTTCACTGGTCCTTTATAAACATGTATTCCTATACCTAAAAGGATAATTATACTCATAATTATACTAATAGATATCAATTATACCCAAGCATTTTTCCATTTATCAACTAAGTAACAAACAACACATAACAAAATACGTATTTGTTCTACATGTATAAAGATATATTGAAGTTTACACACATTCTATATTGAGCAATTCTCGGTTAAATTTGCTTTTATTTCAAAACTTGAACACAAACACAGTACGTACGGTTCCATGCACTTGCTATCACACAGAACGCAGGCATCGAGCGATATATGTACAATTGACATTTGGCAAAAGTTCACTCTCGCGCATGCTCAATGCGTAACTACGAACTGGCTTATTGCCAACAAAAATCTCTTTCGTGTTTGATTTTTCTAGCTGAGCGCCGTTGGCGCGCGCCGAATGCGCACCTTGTGCGGGCTGGTTTACGTGCGCAAATGGCGCGCGCGTTTAGCTCAGCGCCGTTAGCGCGCGCCGAATGCGCACCATGTGCGGGGGCCTATACACTTTGGTAGGACGTGCGCGCGGTCGCGTGCGCCTTGCCGCGAAACTGCGCGCAATATTTCCGCGGTCAGCAGTCAGGATCAACGCCTCCCTTGCGGGACGCCTCTAGTATCCGGTCTCTTCTGGATCATATCATTTAATCTGCAATCACATTGACACGTACTCAGAGTAATGCCATGACCCACACGGTATATCGTTCGGGTTACAGGGTGTGGCAGAGGTAGGGCAATTTTCTTATCATTACCCCTTTTCAGCTGGATGCTTCACACTGCACCAGGCCATCATCAGACACATCCGCATATCCTGTGTATTCTATTCCTGTGTCCTCTGATATATACGTGTACAGTAGTATAGCATGTTTTTATTTGGTAATTCCATGTGTTCCCTGGTGGTCATTGGGGGGATGAAGCCAAGAGGATTATGCCTTCCTGAACCACGGATGAAACTTTTTAGGTAACGCTTATATAAGGCGCTCCATGGCATACACGCACCTATGATGTTTAACTCCATCCACTCAGGAAGCGCAGCTGTTCCATCCTTCATTACAATAACCTAGTATTTATATATAAATGCTTTCATCCCGGGCCGTCACTAACCTTAATACATACACAAGTATTCTTTTCATGATGCTTAAAAATGTATACGACTGTGTCGTCCTAGGTCATCACTAACCAGAGCGCGTACAGCTGTTCCTTCCGATATAATAATATTTAACGGCTACATAAAAGCTACATAAAGCTACATAAGC